ACATCACTAGTTAACAGGAATATTTCAGGTCCATTATAATCTTATGGGACCACTGTTGTATAGGCAGTTCACCCATCATTAACTAAAATGTCATTATGCAGAGCATGACTATATATCTTTCTTGCAAGAGTCTTAAATTCTGCAACTTCCACCATCTATTCTATGATAATGCTTGTGGCAACTTATTTCCTCCTGCAATGGCTAGCATTCTTTACAAACTTTAAATAACTACCTAATTATCTTCTCTATACTTTAGTTGATCTTATCTAATATCAAGAGTAAATTTGAATCTCTAACTCAACTTCTTCTGAGTTTGAAACTAATATACTCATACTCAGCAGCTCTAGTCATGTCGTATAGGTATCTCAAACTTACCATGCGCAAAACTCTCAACTTTTTTTTTTTTTTTTGTCTTCAAGCTAGGTTCTCTCTAAACATTCTGTCAGGCACCTCAATTAACCCAATTACTCAAGCCCCAAATCTTGATGTTATCAGATTTATCTTTCACTTATACACTTAAGAAGTCCTGTTGGCCCTTCCTTAGAAATAGCCAGAATCCCACCACTTTTCATCATTTCACTGCTACCATTCTGGCTCAAGCCACCATCATCTCTCACTTGCTACTGTAACGGCCTCTTCACTGGAATTTCTGCTATTACTCTTATCTCCAAATAGTCTATTCTTTAGCATTGACTTTTTAACAAATAAGTCTGATCACAGCACCCCTCCGCTCAACTCTCTAGTGGCTTTCCCATCTTATTGGGCGTAAATACAAATGTCCTTACAATGGCTTAAAGGGCATTATGCAGTCTTCTCTCCCACCCCCTTTTACCTAATCCCTTACCTCATCTCCTATTCCTCTCACCACTCTTGCCTCCAGTCCAGCCACACTGGCCTTGCTGCTGCTCCTCTAATATTTTAAGAACCCTCCCACCGCAGGGACTTTGTACTTGCTGTTTCCTCTGCCTGTAACGTTTTTTTCATTACACAATTCCAGGTACACATTCAGGTCTTTGTACAAATGTCATCTCATCTTAGAGGCTATCTCTAATCTCCCTAATAAATAATAATAAATAAATAAATCCCTGTATTTGCTTCTGTGATGGTTAATTTTATGTGTCAACTTGACTGGGCTGTGGAGTGCCCAAATATTTAGTCAAACATTATTTTAGGTGTGTCTGTCAAGGTGCTTTTTAGATGAGAATAACATTTGAAACAGTCTACTGAATAAAGCAGATTGTCTTACTTAATGTTGGTAAGCCTCATTCAATCAGTTGAAGACCTGAATAGAACCAAAGAGATGACCCTTCTATCAGTCTTTTCCTGCTTTCAAACTTGAAGCAAAACATTGACTCTTCTTGGATCTCAAGCCTGCCTGCAGGCTTTGGACTAGAACTTACATCATCAGTTCTCTTGGTTCTCTGGTCTTTGGACTGAGACTGGAACTACACCATCAGCTCTCCTGGGTCTTCAGCTTGCTGACTGCAGATCTTAGGATTTCTCAACTTTCATAATCATGTAAGCCAATTCCTTATTTTAAAAATCTTTACACACAAACACACACACACACACACACACACACACAATTGGTTCTGTTTTTCTGGAGAACCCTAGTAGTTTCATGTTGCTGCTCAAATTATCACCAACTTGGTGGCTTAAAACAAATGTCTTATAGTTCTGGAAGTCAGAAATCTGACATGTTTCACTGGGCTAATGTCCAGGTGTCGATAGGGTTCTGTTTCTTTCTTGAGACTCTAGGAAATAATTTATTTGCCTATTCCAGTTTCTAGTGGCTACTCACATTGCTTGGCTCATGGCCCCTTGTCTCCATCTTCAAAAGCAGAAATAGTGAGTTGAGTCTTTCTCACAGCAAATCACTGACATTTTTTTGCCTCCCTCTTCCACATTTAAAGGACCATTATTATTACATTGGGTTATTTGGATAATCCTAGATAATCTCCTTATATTCAGGGCAGTTGATTTGTAGTCTTAATTCCATCTGCACCCTTTATTTTCCATTGCCATGCAACATAACATATTCACAGGGCTAGTGATTAGGATGTGAACATATCTTCGGGGGGAGGCAGTATTCTGCCTGCCCCAGCCTCTTCCCACATCAATGTTTAATTTTCTTCATAGCACCTATCTCTCCTAATATAGTATTCTTACTTATTTGGCTACTTATTGTCTGTCTCCAGTTACTAGAATTTAAGCTCCATGAAGACAAGGGCTTTGTTTTGTTCACTACTGTATCCTAGGCTCTAAAAGCAGGTGTTGAAAAAACATCTTTTGACTAAAGGAGGCGAGAAATTTTGTTAGTGAGAGCTACACTTTGCAAGAATCAGGAATTAGAGTGAAAAATCATAAACTACCCTATGCAAATCACTGTTGTGGGAGACCTTAAAAAATTTCACACTTTCCCTCCTATTTTTAAATGGCCCCAGATAAGTAGAGGTTATAACTGCTCATAGTAGTCCAATTCAGAGGCAAAACACCTGGATATTAAAAATTGCTTGGGTTTGACCTAAATCCTAAATTGAAGGTTTTTTGGTTTTGTTTTGTTTTACTGGTGACTCTTGCTTTGCACTGCCTACCATGGAAAAGTAGTGAAACCAGGAGTAAGGTAGGTTCACAAGTGTTTGCTTTAATATTTCCATAGTAGCCAATTCAGTGACAGTCTCACAGCCTGGTACCAGGCCTGGGTGCACCTCATAATCTCCACGCTGAGTAGGCCTTTAAATTCAGGAAAGCCATATAACTTCAAGGTTAGGGTTAAGTGTGCAAATTCTGGAGTTAGACTACCTGAGTTCAAATCCCAATTTCGCTATTATAATAACTATAAATTTTATATTCTCTGAGCACTTCTCCATCTGCAAAATGGGGATAGTGACAGTACTTATGTCATGGGGTTCTTGTGAAGATTAAATGAGATAATCCTCATAAAGCACTTACAACCTATCACTTAGTAAGTACTCAAACGTAGCACTGTTTTCATTTGTCAACCCATCTAACTTTTCATTATATCCTATTGAGTTAGCAAATAAAGCTGGATGAAACTGGAAAAGCTAGGTCCCTACATAATGGCTTCCATTTGCAACATACTACTTATGACATAGAAGCTTCCCAGTCATTGTTTTTGTCTACAACAGTCTTTCTCTAACTTGTAGATCATTTTGAGAACCAGTGGTTTAAAACATATACATCCTTCTTGATATAATGCCCTCAACTTATGATTGCTAAACGGGTGAATATGTGTTTTCCCACACCCGCTCTCACATCTACATTTCCTCTTCTTTGCCCTAAGGCAGTGGTTCCAAAGGTGTAGTCCTTGGACCAGCAGGATCAGCATCAGCATCACCTGGCAACCTGTTAGAAATGCAGATTCATGGGCGTCACCCCAGACCTACTGCATCTGAAACTCTTGGGGTGGGGGTAGGGCAGCAATCTATGTTCTAATAAGCCCCCTCCAAGTGATTCTGATGCATGCTTAAGTTTGAGATCTATTTAATCTCTCCTACTGACATAGCTAATATGGCCTATAAAAAGCACCACTTAATTGTCTTATTAATCCCATAATTTTCAAATCTCAAATTTTGATTTATTCTCTCTGTTTCTTTGTGCATGTCTTCAGTGTCCACTTGCATTTATTTCAGTTTCTAAGTGACTCCATCTTTGAACAAATATATATCTCAAAACATTTCTATTTTCAGTGACAAAGACAGCCATATGGCCATCACTATAAGAAGGATTAAGTCAAATCATAATTTCATTTTTCTAACCTTTTAACACCTCCAAGTCTAAGTTATAACTAGAATCTGAGCAGGGGCTGAATTAAGGGGAAAAGGGTAAGGATATAACTTTATGTTTTTTTGTGCTCATCTAAATTAATGTCTCTAGTTGTATCAATATCTATCTCTACTTACCTTATAAAAAACCACTTTCAAGCAGCTCCTTCTAAATTCTACCCTAAAAATAACGAGAACATGCCAAATCATGACTCTTTACTAGTCACAGAACAGACCTCTGTTCATATGCTCTTTTCATTTTTCTAGATGCTAACAGTATAAAGAATCTGGAATATCTACTTAAAACTTACCTACTATAGAAAATTAATACAGCTAATGATGAAATTAGTCCCATGAAATTATTTTAAGAATTGAGATTTTTAGTCTACATAACATAGGCTACCCAAAAAACATTCTTTACTACTTATCATTCAACTGAGGATAATCAAGATGAAAATAGTGACTGCTGATCTGAAAGAAATTTAATACATCGAGACAGGAGAAATGAGATGAGTCTACTGTGCTGTAGATTCCCTAAATGCCTTTGTGTTCTGTTATCCTGTCAATGGAAACTGAAAATGTTGGGGCTTTGAGTGAATAATTTCAGTTAGTGTTGTCAAACTCCATTTCTTGCAGTTCACAATGCTTCTTTTTTTCCTTAGGGAAGAAAGTTAAATTTAACCCCCAACTTAAACAATTTAATACTGTTTGACTAGAATAATGAAGGTACAGAGCATTAGGCGTTATGTAACACATAAAATTAACCACTCCTGGACCTCATTAATCCAATTTATATTTCCTCCACTTTTTATTCATTCCTTCTCTAGTTGCATCCTGGAACAGACATTCAGCACAACTCAGGCCTCAATTACTACCAGAGCTTCCCCAAAGGCCATCAGTCAGTCCATATAGCCTAGGTTAATTTTTTTTTCAAAACTGCTTTCACATAGTTCCCCTGCTCAAATGTCTACAATCCTTTCCTATCACATTTAGAAATCATATGTCAAAATTCTTCTGCCAAGCTTTGAGACTATAATCTGGCTCCATTCTTCCCATTCAACTTTATTTTGTACTTCTTCCCAACCAGCAGATCCCTCCTCCATGTAGGATAACTGTGAAATTCCTTTGCTCATTCTTAGGACAAAATTGAAGAAACAAGGAAAAGAAAAACAGATACTGAAATCCCTAACAGGGATTATTTAGAATCGAAGCAACTGAAGTCAAGGGATATTTTTATTGCATACTGAGAAAACAGTAATACTTCAAACATACAGTTTACTTACTATGTAATAAGGAATACAAGGCAATGCTGGGAAATGCTTTGGCATACACAACTACTGGAACCAGGTTATCAGAACATTTAAACATGATTAGAGCCTTTTCATCAGAACACTTTACAAATATCACCTACTTTTATGTTACACCAGCTTCATGAACAATTCATCTTTGAACTCCTCAATGGCTATTTAATTAAATAGCATCCAAGGTTAAACGTTAAGTCTAGGGAGTAGAGAAGATATACAGATGCGATAAGCATCACATTTCAGGATCTAAGTATATGAATACATTAAGATTAGTTAAGAAGCTGATTCAACTTTTTGTGTGAAACAATATCCATCAATGTTTAGCGCATGAGAAGACATTGCTTTGGTCCATCCACTCTTTCCAGCTTTTCAAAGTGTTTCCTGGCATTGCGGATGTTGATCAGAGTAGCTGCAGAAGCTAGGGGGTGGGGAGACATCCAACAAAATAAGTATAGGCAGCCAAAGGAATGTCTGACTGGTATAAACAAATAAAAGAGTCAAATCCTTCAGCATATGTTACAGAGTACATATAGAAATAGGAGGTCCCAAGTTAACAAGGTTTAATTTTTCTGAATAAGCAGAAGAAGATTTGTTCATATTATAAACACAAAATTTCCAAGATCTTTTGGTTTGGAGCTAATAGTATAAAACCCATGATCTTATGCCATAACATATTTTAATACTAACCTAAAGCAGGAAAAGCCAGTGGATGAAAGATAACTTAAACTTCTTGGACCATCCTGAAAATACTGCAAGAATCTTTGTTTCATTGGTTATGATAGCTATGATATCGAAGCACCAAACACTTTCCTTCAAGCCCCTCCCATAAGAGAAATATAAGAATATGCAGTGACATATTAAACAGTTCAGCATTTAACAGATCAGAGCCTAGACTGACAAGTCCTTAAAAAAAGTTATACCATGTAGAACATAAATCATGGATTTGAATTCTCTTTTCTTTAAAATTTCTAGATTTAGTAACTTGCTTTCTGAAGTTCACATGAAGAAAAACCTAATACCCTAGAGGCTACATTATTATTTTTTCTTTTCTTTTTTTTTTTTTTTTTTTTTTTTTTTGAGTTAGAGTCTCACTCTCTTGCCCAGGCTAGAGTGCAGTGGCACTCTCACAGTCACTGCAGCCTCGACCTGCTGGGCTCTGGTGATCCTTCTGTCTCAGCCTTCCAAGTAACTGGAACTACGGACATGCACCACCACACCCAGCTAATTTTTAGATGTATTGTAGAGACAAGGTCTCATCAAGTTGCCCAGGCTGGTCTCAAACTCCTGGGTTCAGGCAGTCCTCTCGTCTCAGCCTCCCAAAGTGCTGGGATTACAGGCTTCACCCACTGCACCTGGCGAGAGGCTACATTATTTTTAAGCTTTAAAATATAAATCTATTAAATAAAAAACTATTTATTACTAGTACTAGTTTTTTATTGTAGTAAAATATACATAACATAAAATGTACCATTTTAATTATTTTTAAGCATACAGTTCAGTGGGATTAAATACCTTCACATTGTTGTGCAAGCATTCCCACCACAAAATAGTCTTTAAGTATCTAATAAAGTACTACCTCTAGGGCAATTATTTAAAGAATGTATCACTTTAAACATGTCAACTAAGTTTAAACTTACGAATGGATGGATCAGACATCACGACCATCACATAAGTGTTGGATGTAAAGATGTCAATGAAAGCGGCGAAGTTAGAGTTCCTGACTTCCATACTCTGGAAGGAAGCAGCCAACTTACTATAGGAGAAAGGAGAATAGTGGTTAAAGAACATAAAATAATAACACTATAACAAGCTCTCGTCCTTTATGTTAGACATTTTTATAGCATTATACCTCAATTCACCCCTTCACTAAGGTGGTTGGTTAACCACTAACCCCAACTTGTTTTCCAAGAAAATTCTAATATTGAATTTAACATGTTTTGAAAAGTGACTAGGACAGAAAATGAGTTAGGATTTGATGTTTTTTTCTTTTTCTTTCCTTCCTTTTAAAAAAATGAGTTAGGGTCTCACTCTGTCATCCAGGCTGGAATTCAGCAGCATGATCATGACTCGCTGCAACCTGGAACTTCTGGGCTTAAATAATCTTCCCACCTCAGTCTTCTGAGTAGCTGGGATTACTGGCATGCACCAACATGCTTGGCTAAAGGACTTGATACTGACTGTGAAATGAACACGAGCCTAGATCCATGTTTAAAATCATGTTACAAAAGACTTCTCCAATATTCAAAAAATGTCTTAAGTTTAAATTTCCCGATTAATACATATTTTAATACTAACCTAAAGCAGGTTAGCCTATACCTTTTTAATGTTACATTTAAATTAAAGAAATAATTCTATTTATTTGAAAACAAACAAGGTAATGTATTTGCTTGCCACTGGCTATTTCTTCTTACAAATGTCAGCATAAACATTCCAGAAAGTCTCAAAGTGTGCTGAAGCATAAAGGGAATAAATTTAACAGGGTGTAGTGGCTCTCACCTATAATCCCAGCACTTTGTGAGGCCGAGGTGAGAGAACTGCCTGAGCCCATCGTTTCGAGATCAGCCTGGGCAACTTGGCGAGACCTCATCTCTACAATAAATTTAAAAATTAGCTGGGCTTGGTAGCATGTGCCTGTAATTCCAGCTGCTTGGAAGACTAAGGTGGAAGGATCACCTGAGTCCAGCAGGTTAAGGGTGCAGTGGCCATGAGCATGCCACTGTACTCCAGCCTGGGCAATAGAGTGAGACTCCGACTAAAAAAAAAAAAGGAGTAGGTTCGTATCTCCTGTTAAGCCATTAAACTTTCTTTCATCAGGACAAGGCATTTGGTTATTGAATCTTAACTAAATTATGATGTTCAGCCATTCCACTTTCCTATATCCACAATGCTAAGATACAAATTTTATTTAATCAAAGCTGATACAACATGATTAGACATTTTTAGACTCTCTATTCTGTACTATTTCTAAGTCAGTACCACACTATTCTAATTACTACAGTTTTTATAGTAAATTTTAGTACTTAATAAAGCAAATTCTTCTTCCTTCTTCTTTTTAAAATCTCTCTTGTATATTATCTGTTTATTTCTTTCCAGATTGTATCAAACATCTTGATAGGGTATTCTGTTTGGATATTTTTCATATACTACTTCTGTACAAGGACCTGCACTTCAGTTAACTGTAGGCCACTTGGGGATTAGCTTTCTTTTTGATTGAAGGAACTGTTCTGAATATAGAAGTACAGTCAACTATAGTTATTTGAACTTCTCAAAAATGCCAATTTTTTTCCAGAGATAAACAGCTCATACCTTCAAGATCTCTTACCTGCAGCTCAGCTTGAACTGCTTAATAATGTTGCTGATTTTCTCAAATCTATGAGCATCACGCTGCTCTTTACACTGATAGTGAGAAATCACCTATGAAAAAGAACATTGTCCTTTGAATCCATGCAAAATAGTCATATCATCCTGGCTTACCGCCTCTTCTCCTTTGTCCCATATCCTGTCAACACTGTATGTGATTTCGACATCCATTTGGATGGCCCATCTAGTATTGTTTGGTTATAATTTTATTAGATCATTTATGTATTACCTACTTTGGTTCACTGCTGTTCTTTCTCGCTTTAATCATTAAATGTTCATTTTATTTCAATATTTCATGTGATATTTTTGATAAAAGTACATTATCAAAAAGGAAAACAAATAAAAGTTCATAGCTGTTCTTGAGGCATACTTAATTTAATCAAGGCTATAACCAAGTAGCTTTTAGAATTATATTTTAAAAGCTCAACTACATGATTCCAGCTCCAGAGGACTAGTTTTAAATGAACCCATGTAGGATGGATACTCACACCAACTGAAAATACTTTCCCTAACACTTTCAGATGTTAATAAAATCACACAAGGTCATCTACAGGCTGAATATACAAATGCAAAGTTTCTAGTAGGAAGCAAAACGGGGTCACTTGCCAGAAGAAAATTCACAGGGAAATTCCTTGAGACAATGTAAAACTTTCAAAACATAATTCCTAAACTAGTGGAAAAGCAGGTCTGCCTTGCTTGACTTCACACTCTCTCAGTGAAAATGGTTAATCACATTCAAACTTGGTCTCAAGAGAAACAAAAGCTACCTATCACTGATAGTGAAGAATAGGGACCTTACATTAGGTTAACCTCTATAACCATGTGTGGTGGAAACAGCAGGGGAACACTGCTGAAACAGAATTCTGCAGTGCCGTGTATTTCAAGACACAGAGTAGCTTACTTGCTTATTACTACTCACACTAGCAGAAAAAAACAGGGCTCAGGGTAGTACAATTCCAAGCAAGTTAACCCCTGTCAGTGCGCTGAGCCAGAAAGACACTCTAGAGTTAGGACTCCTTGCCTCAGCTGTACCAGCAAGCAGAAAGGATGGCTCCCAAATATTGCTGTAGTTACAAATAGTGCTTGTAAGAAGGAGGTAAAGGGGTTGTACTTTGGTTTCTCTGCCCTCTGTTGCTATAATAGTAAAAGCAATCAGTGTTTAATAGTTAACCAACTAAAATGTCAAGGCTTGTGCTAGGTGCTTAATGTTACTGTATCGCATTTTAATCCACATAATAAGCCTATGATATAGATATTATTATGCCCATTTTATAGAAAGAAAAATGAGCTCAGAGAGATTAAGAATTGCTTCTAAAATCAACAAGAATTGGCAAAGTTCAGAAACAAACTATTTACTGGGAGCTGTTGCTCTTAGAATTATATTTACTAAGTTGATTTGCAATCACTTATATGCAATGTGTTGTAACATCCCAAATTAGTTTCTATAAGTGCAATTTTAAAAATTTACTTATAATACTGAATTTTGCATTCCCCCTCTCAGGGTCGTACAAAGAGTAGACTCTAATACAGTTTCTAAGTACAATTAATACGAAAAATAAAAATACCACCATGTCTCTTTTCCCCCTCTTCTCCATCTGAACTCTTAGCTGTGTCACAGAGTAACTAACCATACATCTCTCCCAACTCAGTCTTTTAGAGAAAAGAGTGAGATATAAGTTTTCTCAAAAGGAAAATATCCTATATTTCATAATAAAAGTCTATAGGAAATAGGACTCCTTTGATACAAATGAATAATTATTAGTAGAAATGATCTAAACTCTCTAATAAAGTAAACCTGAAAAATTTTAATGTTTACTAACTACTAAAGAGCTATATACCAAAGGACTTCTTCCAGGTTACTTGTTGACAATACTGCTTTACTCAAAACTTCAGTACTGCTTTACTCATTGAGATACCACCTAATCCCTGTAAGAATGGCCACCATTAATAAAACAAACAGATGCTGGCGAGGATGTGGAGAAAAAGAAACGCTTCTACACTGCTGGTGGGAATGTAAACTGGTGCAGCCTCTTTGGAAGACAGTGTGGCGATTCCTGAAAGAACTAGAAATTGACCTTCCATATGACCCAGCAATTCCCCTATTGGGAATATACCCAGAGGAACTCAAATTATTCTACAAAAAAGATACCTGCACACGTATCTTTGTTGCAGCTCTATTCACAATAGCAAAAACATGGAACCAACTATGTTGCCCATCGAAGCTGGACTGGATAAAAAAAAAGTGGTACATATACACGATGGAATATTATGCAGCCATAAAGAAAGACAAATATATGGACTTTGTAGTAACTTGGATGGATTTGGAGTCGATCATACTCAGTGATTTATTACAGAAACAAAGAACTGAGTTCCATATGTTCTCACTCATAAATGGACCTTGAACAATTATAAAGCTGTAAGAAAGCGATTGGCAGTAATGAGAAACTGTAAGGGGAGCGGGGGTGGGATCAGCAGTTGAGGGAAACTGCTAGGGGAGGGAGGGGCATATCTCATCAACAAGGGCACCTGCATGATCAATGTTTATATACCTAACCCTGAAATATACCCCACATCTTTACAATAACAATTTTTTAAAATTATATTCTGAAATTCCAGCATTAAATAAATTCCTCTTCTTTTTTTTTTAAAAAAAGGTTGTACATAGGTTGAAATTAACAAGACGGTTCTTCCTAAAAGTGGTAATATGCTGTTCTCTGTTAAAGGTACAGTGTAAAGTATACCTGCAAAGTAGAAAATTCTTACCAAAAAAGTAGCTCTCTCAAACAAAAGTACTTCATCAGCTTCGATAATTTCAGCAAAATTCCTTAGGTTCATTTCCAGCTGCTGAACATTGGGAATCAGCTGATAAACAATGCTGGACCAAGCCTAGCAGGACAGAAACACAGTGTATTATTACTAATGAGTAGTCAGTCCCAGACCTTTGAAAAGAGTAAGTACACTATAACATATGGACAGCAAATGATGATGATAGTTGAGTCTCAAACAAATATTGATACAACACAAATGAAATAAGAAGACGAAGCTAATACTTGATTTTCATCCTTGAGTTGATTTAAAGTTTACTTTGGTAAAATGCTAGAGAAACTTCTTTCATTAATAACTAGAAGTAAACAAGTATTTAATGCCATCATGTTGCCTTAGGAAAAAAGTTTAAAAATATGATCTACTGAGTTAAAAAGCTTCTAATCCAGCCATTTAACAAATATTTAATTCTAACAGTATAGATTTCTCTAAAGATCAGAACCTAATAATGCTATATTTAACATACACCCAAGAATCAATTTTGTGAAAACATCAGAGCCACATAGACAAATGGCCCCTTCCCTTAAATGTGATAATATAACATTAGAAGAGAAACTAGTGGCATTATCATTCCCAAAGGTTTGCTGTCAGCTGTATGCATTATTGATCCAATTGAATTAAAAATGATCCACTGTGTGTTTGCCTATAACTAACTTCATCCAGGGGAGTATGACTAATGTAAACAGTTGAAAATAACCATACCCTCCCTCTATTCTCTCAAGGCTCTTTTATTTGTAATTTCACTATACTTCCTTCACTCTCACTCCAATTTGTCTGGTTAGGTGTACTTTGTTTTTCTCTCCCCTACTAGAGGACAGGAACCTGGTCTCAGTCATTTGTGTATCCAACAGCATCAAGCAGATATGCAATAAGTGCTTGTTGAACAAAACAATATAAAAATTTAAGTCAGCTGTATGCAACATTGATGTAAGAGATAGTAGTGCCATGTCTCTGTTCCAATTAGTTTTATTACTTAGGCATGGAGGTTCAGGTTCCAAGTTCCCAGGTCGGTGTTAATGTCACTGCTGAATTTACCTTGGAGAAGGCACCAAAGCTAACCACAGCAGAGACATTGTCACTCACAGCAGTGTTGTGATTAGCCAATTGTCTCTGGTCGTGTTATATATTGCCATCCTTCACACCGCAGTTGGTTCTTATCAGTGCGTCATGTCCATCCTTATTCACGGTTACCTGTTCTATAGGAATAAGGCTTTGAGAGAAATTCGGCCCATATTAATCTAGAACAGTACTTCCTAGACAGGTATCTTAAAATGATCTGTTATTAGAGTGAGGCTGGGTCAACATAATATTGGGGGAAATTAATTAGTTCAAAAAAAAACAATGGCTATTTTTAAAGTCCAATGATTTTTCTCCTTGGCAAGTCAGGTTTCTGTGCTTATGGCTGTAGACACTTGTCAGATGCTGTTGAAACTGAGGTTCTAGCTACTAGTAACAGAGAAGGATGCCTTCCCACCCAGAGTCACATTTGTCAGTGGATACCAAAAGCAGTCGGAAGGAGAGGTTTGACTACAGGAAGACCCAAAAGGAGCTAGTCCATCAAATCACTAGATCAGAAGGAGAATGGAAGGAAGCAGGATAAGGAGCCTATGTGCTAATAAGGTAATTTCAGCTTCATCCGTAACAAAACCATTGTTGTAACCTTTACAATTAGTGCAAGCAGTGTGGCATCCATTCTAGCAATGGGAACAATACTTCCGGTTGAAAGAATGCTGGTCTCCAACTCAGCACAAAAGTTGAAGCTACCATACTCTAGGCATAACATTGTCTCATTCTAAAACTCCTTTCTCCAATCTTTCCTCTCAATGTTTTTCTTTTATATTGCCATCCAAACTTAGGCAGACTAGCTTATAGAGTTATCTGAATACTAGATACAACTACAATCAGCACTGAGACCACAACAGGTCAAAATGGATGATGGCCACTAAGTGAAACCTCTGCTATCACAAAGATCAGTATTAAATTAATCATGACCAAACTGGCTAATTCTGTGTGATTTGATAGCTATGTCAACCCAATCTAAGATTAAAACCCAAATCTCTCAATGTTAAGTTCAGTATTCTTCAAACAATTTATTGTAAATTATTTCTTTTTTAAGTATAACAAATCTAGATGGCTATGAAATAGTTGAAAATTTTTTAGTTTTGTTAATACCATTCTAGCTTTTTTTCATGCTCTTAAAATGACGGAACTCAGGGAGACATACACACCTTATATAGAGTTTCATCCCAGATAGATGTTCGGAAACAAGAACATTCCAATGGACGAGACAAACGCCTCAAATCTTCTTCTCGTTCTTTAAAAATCTGAATAAAAAATTCCAGTATACTGATCAGCTCTCTTTCACTGCAAGAATGTAATTATTTCAGCATACTTTAATCAGGAGGCTTGGCTCCTTTCTAAGAGGAATTTTGAGTATGTACATTATTTCACAAACTAGGATCGCAGAAATTATTTCAGGTCAGGTTTAAAAATGCAATAGCTAGAATTCTTTAGGCCTATGCTGCTTATGCTGAACACTCACTGAGAGTACCATGTTTATAAATAAAATTTATCATACAGAGGAGTCTTAATAAAACATAGCTAACACTCCAAATCACCAAAACTGGGTCATTTTAACATAGCTATAGCCATATCAACAATTTATAAATCAAAACAATTTAACCTTTACATATCTTTCTGTCTCACACACATATATACAATTATTCATATATATATTATTTACATATGTACTGTATTTACTTAGCTGTATAGATATAACTCCATCCACTCAAATATCTATCCATTTTGTATATGTTTCTATGTATATATGCTCACATACACATGGAAAAATATGTATATAAATATATATACACAGATATTTTCCCATGAGCCGGTGGATTAGTGGTGATAATTTGCATCTGCACTATGGTGGTTAACTTTATGTGTCAACATAGTTAGGCTATGGTATCCAGACATTTGGTCAAATACCAATGTGAATGTTGCTGCAGAGTTATTTTTTAGATAAGACTGACATTTAAACCAGTAGGCTTTGAGTAAAGCAGTTTACTCTCCTTAATGTGGGTGGGCCTCATCCAATTAGTTGAAGGCTTTAAGAGAAAAAGACTGACATTTCCCCCCAAAAGAAGGAATTCTGCCACCAGACTTCCTGCTGACTTGAACTGCAACATTAACTCTTTCATGGATCTCCAGCTGGTCAGCATGCTCTCCAGATTTTGAATTTGCCAGCCTCCACAATTGATTGACATAATTCTTTAAAACCAATCAATCAACACCAGGCTCTTGCTGTATATGTATCTGTATATGTATGTGTATGTGTATGTGTTTGTATTATGTGTATATTCACATATTCTATTGGTTCTGTTATTCTGGAGAACCCTGAGACTTTGGTATTGAGACTGGTTCCAGAGGATAATCTTAAGAATAAGTTTTCTGAACTGGTTCTGGAGTTGGTTCTCTAATTGGTTAGATGTAAAGGCTCTAATACTATTTCCAGTAGTAAAGAGAGCACTGATAATCTATGGTGTGATGTGACAACAGAAATACACAAAATACCACCACTGAAAATTCTTAATCAAATACTTATAAGAAGATTCTGGGTTACCACATATATAATTTCAAACATTTTTGTCAAAATGACAAGCATGAGATTGGCTGGCTGATCCTTACTGTGCTAGACAAAGAAGGGAAAGAAAATGATGAGCTGAGATTTGAATTCCTGGTTCAAGCACCATGTACATGTAAATGACTGGAAAGTTTCTATGACTACCCTAAATAAAATCCTTGCCTCCTATAGCTGCAAGGTTGAGATTGCTGAAAATCAAATTTAGAATCTCATCCTATAAGTGGAAGAATTACAATCCAAATTAAATTCACAAACTCACAGGTGTCTGCTGTTAAAGTGAAGGCAATGACTGGAAAAAACGGAATTCTGAAAAATGGAATGGAGGTCATATGGAAAGATCCTGGGGACACCGAACCCATAAATTCTAATGAATCTTCTCTGCCAACAGAAGCAGCTGCTCCATCCTTATCTGAGATTAACTCTCCTTGGCCTGAAGAAACTGCCATGGCCTCCCCTGAGGTAGCTGTCTTGTAAGACACTCCTGACTCACCTGTACTACCCCTCTTTGCTTCCAGACTAGTTTAAGTCTCATCAGGCTCCTAAAGGTGAGGTACACGTAACATCACTAAGGGTACCTGATCCTAAACCAGGAGAAATGAGGACCAGTGGGAGGCCCAAACTTCACCTGCATAAGTAGACCGCTTACGGTATCTAATCCTGACTTGTATCCCACATCTTTAAAATAAAATAAAGAAGGAAAAAAAGTGTGGCCCAAGAGGAATTTTGTTGCACTCCAAAAGAACTACATAATTTTTCCAACTTATACGGACAAAATCATAAGAATAAGTTTGTGAATAGATATTAAGGGTATAGGATAATGGTGGAAGAAACATAAAGTTGAATCAGGCAAAATTTATTGATATGAGCCCATTAAGCAGAGAGTATGCATTTAATGTTGTAGCTCAGGGAGTAAAAAAGAGCTCTAACAGTTTGTTTGGTTGGCTAAAGCATGGACCAAAAGGTGGCCTACACTAAATGAAATTGAAATACCAGAAAATTAGCCAGGGGTGGTAGTGCGCATCTGTAGTTCCAGCTACTTGGAAGGCTGACGTGGTAGGATTGCCAGAGCCCAGTAGGTCGACACTGGGGTGGCCATGAGTGTGCCACTGCACTCCAGCCTGGGTGACAGAGTGAGACTCCAACACACACAAAAAAAGAAAGAAATACCAGAATTACCTTGATATGCTCTAGAGGAAAGATCCAAAGGCTTGTAGAAACTGAAATGTTCTAGTGGATTTATCATTTAAGGCCTACTCACCAACTCTGGGAGGCTCCAGAAGGTTCTTTCATCATGACTGCGAAAAATAAATTTGTGAGGATAACCCCAGTTTCCTTCTGCAGCTCTGTGATATTCTTCTCTATAGGCCAGAACTTACAGTGAGAACTGCTGCCACTGAACTGGGAAACCTAAATGTAATGGAGGTAACTGGATCCTGGAATAGCAGGAGCCAAGTGGAGGCACTCAATCACCCTAGAGGCAACATGTGGTTACTGTAATGAACAGCAGAGTCAAAGTATTAATCAGAATAGTCTGGCTCATAGAGACTTATGGCATTGGCTAACTAAACGTGGTGTTCCTAAAAGTAAAAGGGATGGAAGTCTACTAAATTTTTACTTCATCTGTGTAAGTGGAAGAATTCTAAGTTCACTGATCAGAAATCTAACTTGAATTGTAAAAACAGAAAGTCACAGCATCTCAGGCAATATTCGGACTTGGCCAGTTTACAGGCCCAGAACCACTTGAATGAAGGTGAGGCTGGCTACCCTTGAGGAAGGACACTGTCACACATTTATACTGTTAACTTTCTTCCCAGCATCCTTCAAAGAGATCAGTTTGGCCTTTTTACCAGGGTAACTGTGCACTGGGAAAAAATATATAATCAGACTTTTAAAGGACTGCGGGGCACTGGCTCTGAACTGACACTAATTCCAGGAGACTTAAAATGTAACTGTGATTCACCAGTCAGAGTAGGAGCTTATGGAGGACAGGTAGCCAATGGAGTGTTAGCTTATATCTGTCTCACGCAGGCCTACTGGGTCCTCAAAACTTTCCTGTGTGTTATTTTCCCAGTTCCAGAATGCATAATTGAAACAGACAAACTTAGCAACTGGCAGAAACCCCCACATTGGCTCTTTGACCTGTGGAGTGAGGGCTACTATGGTGGGGAAGTCAATAGAACTGCCTCTACCTAGACAAATAGTAAACCAAAAGCAATGTTGCATTCCTGGAGGGATTACAGAAATTAGTGCGACCACCAAAGACATGAAAGATGCAGGATTGGCAATTCCCACCACATCCTCATTCAACCTATTTAGCCTGTGTAGAAGACAGATGGCTTAATAGTGTATTACCAGGTGGTGACTATAATTGCAGCTACTGTGTCAAATGTGGTTTCATTGCTTGAGCAAATTAACACACCCTCTGCTCTCTGTATAACAGCTATTTTTCTGACAAATGCTTTTATCTCCATACCTGTTCATAAGGTCCACGATAAGTTCACTATACGTAGTTTGCTTTCAGCTGGCAATGCTGGCAATACACCTTCACTGTTCTACCTCAGGGATATGTCAATTCTCTAGTTCCATGTCATACTTTACTTCACAGGGACTTTAACCACGTTTCCCTTTTACAAGATACCACATCAGTTCATTACATTGATGATATTATGCTGATTGGACTTAATGAGAGCAGCAGTTACTCTAGACTTATTGGTAAGATATATGTATGTCAGAGGATAGGAAACAAATCTGACAGAAATTCAGGGGCCTTCTTCCTCAGTGAAATTTCTAGGGGTGTAGTGATATGGGGAGAAGTCTCAAGAGTGAAGAATAAGTTGTTGCATATGGCCCCTCCTACAACCCAGAGAACAGCACATCTAGAGGGCCTCTTTAAATTTTAGAGGTAACATTTTCCTCATTTGGCTGTGTTACTGTGTCCCATTTACCAAATGACCCAAAAAACTGATAGTTTTGAGTGGGTCCCAGAACAGAATAAGGCTCTACAGCAGGTTCAGGCTGCTGTGCAAGCTGCTCTGCCTCTTGGGCCATATGATCCAGCAAATTCAATGGTGCTTGAAGTGTCAGTGGCAGATAAAGATGTTGTTTGGAGTCTTTGACAGGCATCCATAGATGAATTGTAGCACATGACTTAAGGACACTGAAGCAAAGCCCAGCCATCCTCTGATAACTATACTCCTTTTGAGAAGTAGTTCTTGACCTGCTACTGGGTATTAGTGCAGACTGCACACTTAATCACTGACTATCAATTTATCATTAGACCTAAGCTACTCATTATGTACTGGGTGTTGTCTGACCTACAAACCCATAAAATTGGACGTACACAGTAGCACTCCATCACCAAATTAAAGTGGTATATATACAATCAGGTTCAAGCATGCCTTGGATAAACAAGTAAGCTACATGAAGAATTGGCCTAAATTGCCATGGTCCTCATTCCAATTATAATGCCTTCTCTTTTCCAGTCTGCAACTATGGCTTCATGGGGAGCTCCTGACAATCAGCTGACAGAGGAAGAAAACTTGGGACTGATTTACAGAAATTTCTGCAATAATACACAGGCACCACCTAGAACCAAACAATCACAACATTACAGTCCCTTTAAGGGACATCCCTGAAGGAAAGTGGTAAAGGGAAATCCTCCCAGTACGCAGGAACGTCAAG